ATATTCATCTGACAGAGCAATGTATTTTTCTTTTTCTGCAGCAGAGAAACGGCGAGCCATTGCAACAGTTTCAAGTGAAGTTTAGGAAGCTTTGTCTGAGCAGTTTGTTGTTGTAAGTTATCAGAGGTGGGGAGGTGTTCTCCTGTTTTCTGTTGGAGGGTTCTGGAAGTTTTTTCACAATGTTGTGAGACTGGTTCTTCAGAAAGCTTGGTGAGCCTTCGAAAGAGAAGAGTTCTCCTCTGCTTAAACAGAGGGAAAAAGGCTTTTGGGAGTTCCTGAATTGTAGTTTAAGCTGCTATGCATCCTGCTGCAAGGTGCCATACTTCAGAGGTGTTTTCTCCGTGGTAGGGAGGGCCTCCGGTGAGGTGTTCCGGTGGAGAGGCCATCTCAGAGGCTGTAGGGACCGGTGGATCTCCCTTAATGTTGGTTAGGAAAAGTTGTTGAAATCGGTTGGTGAAAAAGATATTTAAAAAAGTTGCTAAAAGAAGTAAGAATCCATTGGGTTTTTTTACTAAACCCCAAAGGACTAACGGTTAATAACTAATCTCGAATATTGTGTCTGAGAGCGTTTTATCGTTATGCCTCTACTTTACTACCTTTGGAAAACAAGATCATGATGTGTTCTCAATAATTTTTGTTGTTATTATTCACACTAAAATAAGATTGGAAGACATTTTCTGTTAGAAAACATAAGTGTGAATCATGCATATATATTATACCATTTTTTAAGATTTTCATACTTGCGGTTACAGACAAATTGTCTGAGACAATGGGATACAATTACCTATCATATATAAATATGAATCCAGTATAAATATGTTTCACTAAAATTTAAGTTTAATTTGTCAATCTATATATTATTCCATAGTATAGGTAACTAGGATCCACGTAATAACTCAATGTAAATTCTAGTAGTCGATTTTGATACAATATTATAACATCTAGCATATGCAATAATAACATTTTTGCCATTGTTTATCCATGGTTTAAGAGGCATAACTATCTGTTTAGAAGAGAGCACATATTGAACTTATGAGAGAAATAGGAAAAATTAAAAGAAAAAGGATTGAGGAGCATAAAGCAAGTGGTTATTCACATATTGAACCAACTAAACACAGATTAATTTAGAACACTAACATGCTCACACATGGATCCCCACCCAAATATGTTAGTCTATATATATTATTTTCTGTAAATAAATCGTATATTTGATTATTATTTTTAAACATAATAGCACAAAGTTAATACTAAATCTTATAGACACGCATTCTTCATATTACTTTGAATTCATATTCAACTCGTATCTAAAATGATAATGTTTTATTATATATTGACTAAACAAATATTTTCAGGAATCTGAACTTTAGTCATCGTAATACAGCTATTGAAAGAATATTGATCAAGTAATTATATCGTAATTATTTGTAATACAAAAATTCTCTAAAAATATGTACGAGCCCTGACAATTAAGGATGGAGATTCACTAAACCAAGATTCCTTAACCTTTACAATAATCGAAACACTCGTGAAGGCACTAACGAAATTTCCAGGTCACTTGGCATATAACTGATTAGTAAAGTAAACTTCGAACAAATTGAACCAATTATTAAGAGCAAAAGCGTAATACTGAATGAAGAAAAAATATTAAACCAAAAAGTGATCAAAAATAGCCTT